AATATTAAATTTATTAAAAATTAAATTTTATATTTTATTTTTATTTTTTAAAATATAGTTATTATAATCTCATAATTTAATATATACCAAAAAAATTAATCTAATATGTTATTTTTTTAATTTTTATTAAAAAATCTCATTTTAAATATTTATTTTGACTCAAAGTGTGATTTTACTAGTCATTCTAGTTATATATGGACTTATCAATATGATTGAGATCAAGTCATTTCAAATTAATTTTTATATGATTTATTTTTTAATAAAAAAATATTAATAATATTTTAAAAAAATTTATATTAAAAAAATAATCTAATTCATAATGTAGCATGAACCATCTAATAATCACTAACCAATTGGTAGGAAAACACCTCTATTTATATTATTATAACAATTACAAAACAAACTAAAGCGTTAGGATTTGTTCAAACAATGACAAATACAGTTTACAGACTCGCAATGCACTGTGAATTGGAGTTGTGCTATTTTTATTTTTTTTATTTTGGTCCTTTAACTTCATTTTTGATTGTGTCCTTTAATTGTGAAATTAGCACCCAATTGCTTCAAATTTATTGGCTAGGGATAAAATTAAAAGATTGAGGGCCAACTTAGAAAAAACACAAAAAATGGATGGTGTGTTTAAAGTTCTTATAAAAAATGCATTTTGAACCTCCAATTTATAAAATTAGATCTTTTATATTCCTTATGTTTTTCTAAATTCAATTTTGACACTTAACTTCATTTTTATTATTTTTAAATTCCTAGTTCTTTAAGGAAAGAAATTTTTACCAGATTTCAGTGTAAAGAGAGAAAGTCGTTATTTTCATGTATTTCAGCCATCAAATTAGTTGATATTAGTGTTTACGGTTTTATTGGATAATGATTGTTTTAAACTTCAATATTATCTAAAAAACTAGATCAAAGTCGAGGAAAAAATATTTAACCGGATTTGATATCATGTTTTAGGGTTGTTTTTGGAGTTTCATGGGTTGATAAATTGATTTCTAGGTGTTGTGAGGTTGTTTATAAAATTTATTTTTTGTTAAAATATATTAAAAAAATGTTTTTGATAAAAACATTTATATCCTTGATTTTCTGATGACCATAACATGGTTGTATTTTGGGTAGATAAACAATATATCACTTGATTTATTTATTTTTAGATAAAAAATAAGTGATAAAGGATCCTTTCCTTAAAAATATTAAAAATAATATGAAGCTTAGAAGTGCGGATCTAAATTTTTTTGTGGGACTTTTGTTTTTGCAATTCTTTATTTAGATGCAATATAAATATAATAAAAAAAAATTATTAGATCTGGTTAAGTTATTGATGCGGGATAGGTAATTAGACAAATTATGACACAATATCTGGGACTTTTATTAATGCATTCTCTCCTGATTTTTTTTTAAAATATAGTTAAATCCTTTGTTATCATTTAACCTTTTTTTTTAACTTAAAATATAAAAAATACAATTTCATCATTTTTTTCCACTAACCTTAAAAAACCTATAATAATTGGGATCATGTTTTGACCTAAATTCTAAATTTTGTTTGTTAATTAAAATTCAACAATTAACCAACCACCTTGAGATCTTGTTTGTTAATTAAAATTCAACAATTAACCAACCACCTTGAGATCGAAGACTTCCTCTTCACCAACAAGCCTCTCCTTTTTCCTCCAACATCATTCCTCTTCACCGTAAGTTGTTCTGTTTATTATGTCTGTTGAGTCTAAATATTAATTAAGTCTGTATGCTAATTGAGTCTGGACGTTAATGATGCTTTAGGACAACAAGTCATGGTGTTTCATGAAATTTGACTGTATGCTACCAAATTCACGGTCCTGGTTCGGTTACCATACCATTTATGCATGGTAAATACCAAATTAATTAGGTTCCATTGATTTGGAATGGATCCTATGGCTGAGTTGGCTGAGAACTCGATCCTTCGCTCTTATTCCCACGATATATTGTAAATCTTTTGGGTATCTTTATGAGAATTTCCATAAGCAGTGCTCGGGAAGAATTGGTTCATAGCGTAATATATTTCTCATCGTGTTTCTTCATAGAATAATTTGACAAGATGGCTGACATTGCTACCAATCTGTTTTAACTTAGATGCCCTGGAGATTAATGTGTTGCATGATCTGAATATTAACGCAGCACTGTCAAATACTTTGCATCTTCCTTTGTATTCAAAGGGTTCTGGAAAGTTGAAGAACGCACTGGTACCAGTATCCAGGAATTCAAAAAAGGTAAATAAAAGATGCAATATAATACATTTTTTTTCTATTTTCTTTCTGGTCTTCTCTCGGGGAAGCAATTGCGTTCTTTCTTCTGTTCAAATGACTTGGTCGCAAGACATGAAAAACGTTGAAACGCATAATGGATTGAAAGTCACATGCCTTCTCCAACTATTAGAGGAAAATTAACTTTGAAAAGAAGCATAAATAAGATTAGATCCCATATTTTATTGGATAAAAGGTCCAAGAAAGAACATGCTGAAAAATTAGAATAAAAAAGAATCACATGTATTCAATGTCATCTTCAACTTCAAGTGGTGGTGGTAGAGG